GGCTAATCGGATTAAGGGGAGCGGTTGGCACCGGTATTACTGTTTCGGTGGTGGGGGATGGCCCCAATGGGCAACAGGGTAGAGCCTGTCGGAGGCACTGACTGTTGGCCTCGCTGCGGCTGGTCGCATGAGTGGCAGACTTTGCTTCTCAGACGTAAACGAAGCGGCGAAGATGAAACGAATGGGGATCAAGCATGAAGAAGGGGAGCTGTAGCAAGATTAGCTGGAGTGCCTGCCAAGCTTCTTGGTGTCAGCCCTATTCGATAGCCCTATTCAATGAAGGTTAACTGCTATTGGACACGAGCAGCGAGAGAATACCTAGAGGAAGAAGTAACAAACTGGTCGATTTTTCGTCGCCTCTTGTGCGAGCTCGACAAGCTAGTACTTCTTTGTAAGATAGCGAAAGCCGACGAAGTGCAACGTTGGCGTCCAACTGTGTATGGTTTTGTACGGATACCGAGCGAGATCGTGGTCGGAAACGTTTGGGTAGTAAAACGAGTCTTGAAGTCATATGAGGCATATCGATAACCGGCAATGAAAACAAATTTCTATAGTTTAAGACACGAAAGATGTGGTCATAGCCAGTTGATAATGAAGATGATAATAACTGCAATGTTGAATTTAACACTCCATGCAGAGCTAAGACAAAATGCGGTCAGGTGCATTCTACAACAAGAATAACTGAGTATCTTAAAAAGATTCGACAAATCGCTCATTTGCTAAGTAAAAATATCAACTTATTGGCCTTAGATTAGCACAGCCTCAAGGTTCACCTATAAGAGACGTAATGCTGGAGCCCGAAGGACCTTTTAAGTATAGCTGTATAACGTCGTTGTGTTGTCTTCTGCCCTTCCAGGCTTCTATGTGTAAAGAAGAATATCTCTATAGTAAAATAACATTTTTGTGTTAATAATAATGAATACCGATATCTACTTAAAAACAAGCCACATCAAATAAACTTGTCTTTATTTCAAAGCTCATAATCAACCAGTTGCATTTGCGTCCGCGAGCTTTATCAGATATTCATCTTTACTTCTGCTTCGCTAGCTGTTTGAAAAGTTCGGACAAATAAATGTTTTATTTGTACGTCGATATTCACTTTACTGCCAGGTCTGTCACCCACATACCATTATATGTCATAAACTAAAAAAAAAAAATGCCCTCTTTTCCTTTACAGTGGCTGAGTAGCAGCACCTCGAATCATACATGTTGTTGTTGTCGTTGTCGTCATCATCAAAACAGCGACGAGATGTTGGTATCCTTCGTTCTCGCCTTGCGACGCCCACCGGGTCCCTGCTTCTCCCCCTGTCTTTTTCTTCCTCTTTTTCTGGCCAGCTCAGAGAAGCCTGCTGTCTTCCTGCTTGCCCTCAGGGGGTATCGGTAACATAAGCCGGCACCCGAGCAGTTGCGGACCTTATCTTGCATCTGCTGCTACTTTCGACCCAACCGCCGCTACCGTACCCCTCTCGCACCGATAAATAATCGCCATGTTAATAAAAACACCAGTGTGCCATTTGACCTTCACGCCAGTTGTAGCAAGCGTGTCATCGTTTGTGTTAGCTGGCCATGGCGACGAGGTCCTGCGAAACGTGCTGTGCTCTTTCGCTTAGAGCACGAGTGCGTGAAAACGCGAAGAGGTTACCAGAGGAAATAGAACGAAAGCGGAAAATCTAACGGGTGCGTTTGGTTGAACCCCCAATTGCAGCCCATCTCAGAGTTTTGTTCTCGTTCGTCTTTCGTAATGACCGTTGCGACGGCTGCTGCGACCGCCAACAACAGCCGTGCGATGAGGAAGCAGGAAAAACTCCGCGTTGAAATCCCCACTTCCTGAAATTTCCTCTTCCTTTAAAATCTTCTCTCGGTAATTTTTCCTTATTCGCTTCGTTTTGTCTGGACGAGCAGCGCCGCGAGTCCTAAATTATAGGGGTGTATTTTTCGGACCAGCAACAGCAGCAGGCTGGAATATATACAGGCTCACGCCCCTTCCCTGTTTTTCATCCTATGTACTGATCTCTTATTTCCTAGTGTGTTACCAGTGCCGTCCACGTCGCACTTTTAATCTCGTCCAGTCGAATCGACTCGGAAGCTATGTTTCACGGCTTGCATTGAGTGTTGCCGCCTGCTTAACGTGCATTAGCTCGAAGAGCCATGTTACGGATGCTAAAATTATAGTCGGTGCCCTAGTTGCTAGTAGGTTTCTCTCCTGTCCACTTTCGACTCTCCACTACAAATGACTTCTGGGCCGACCTCCATCGCAAATTTGGTCCCTAGAATCAGTCGAATTTTTCGGGAATGGCAGAGAAAAGTGAAAAGTCTCCAGCTAGTCTCACCTTCTCAGCCACTCGTATGCTAAATATACGAATCCAGCCCCAGGCAAGCAATGGCTCTATGTCATTAGCCCATCAAAGTGGGTCGGTGACTAGCCTTAGCTAACGTTAAACCGGTCATCAATACGGCATTGCCTCTAGATCCGGCTTGCAGGCGTCTAAATCGACCCACAGCGAGTTGCTGAGCTTTGCTGGAGATCGATAGCACCGTCTAGTGCGAGCTACGACGAAATAACTCTGTTCTTCCGTGCACTGTAACGGGATATCGATGCTGTCACCTAATGCAGTGTACGTTATGATCTATCCATATGTCTACCTACATACGCACGGGAATGCATGTTGCTAGGCATGGCTGTTGGGTCATTTGGAAGAAACAATGTATTTTTGTTTATTTAGTAGTGGACTATTGTATTGTATGATACATTACATATCAGACTAAAAAAAGTGTTTTCGCCAATAATGAAAGGTTAATGGCTTGCTAGTTTATTTTTTCGGCTGAGCAGTAAGATTACACGTGAACAATACCGTTGACGCGTCGTAAGCAAGCCCCGTTTCCTGGGACGCTGATGGCCTTTCACCTATCATGAAACTGTTCTGCCCCGTCCTTAGGAATAGTTTGTATCTTAACTAGCAGGGATTTGAAACCCGCCTAGAAAACGGGTAGATATCTAGTGCGTCACGCAAAGCGTGCCTTCTGTCACACAGCGAGCGTCGGTGCAGGCCTTCGCTCAGCCAGTGATGGCTTCTGTGAACATTGTTGGTCTTGAGGTAACGTTTACTCAACGTATCACTTCAACATACATTCACCTTACGTAAAGGACGCTTTAGACTGATTGCAGACACGCTACATGTATCGTCACATGTGCGTCGGCAGAATTGGATGAGCGTGAAGCATGTAATGAAAAGGTACGTGTAGTCCTCCTGGAACATGAGTGCAGATTTACGTACAGCGGATTTGCATATCACAATTTTTCATATCCAATTTTATTTCAGCTAGCTATAGATGATGTGGCATCATACGGGTGCTTCGACAGATCAACTGTAATTAAGGCGCATAGGTTAAAGGTGGCCTGAATCATTATTTGGCTCGGCAGGTACGTTTTTGATACGTGCGCTATTATAGTGGTTTTACTGTATTGTTTGGATGTTATACATTGGAATCGTTGTGTATACTGAAAATGAATCATGAATAGCAGCAATCGCGTTCATAACACTGGTAATAATTCTATTATTGTTGATAAAAACAAAGTCAGAAGGTTAGAATGCAGAGCTAGTTTTCAATGGCTGAATTCAATTCGCGAGTGAAGGTGAAGGACTCCAGCTAACCCAGACGTTTCTGCTTCTCGCAGCGAAAAGTTAATTAGCTATAACGTCTGACATATCATTTTCAAGTGTATTGGCATTTGAATGCGGAGCGTATTTTGGACGTAACCCTCGTGAAGTCTGAACACTAACTCAGCATACGAGTACGTATAATCCAACTGCTTCGACGGATTTATATGTTACTGATATATTATTATTACTAGTATAATTACTAAATACAAAAGGTCCAAGGTAAGCTGGTAAAAGGCCTTTTACAATTTTTTGTTAGAGAAAACGAACGTCTTTGCAACCGGCATAAGCTTCTCTCAAGAAGTATAATATCGTACAGCTTAAGGAACAGGCATAGCATAGAGGGTCTTGGCTAAATATGCCCATTTGCTCACGTCGTTAACGTTGTCAGTAAATAGGCCACCGTAGATATATAATCTATTCTTGAACATGACATAAAACCATAGCGATTAGCATCAATGGTTTAAAGTTTAGCGCGAGCTATTTAAACAAGCTAGATAGGTCATTTCCTTCTATAACCATAGCCGCCATTATGGCGGGCCAATTTGTTCGCGGTCGTAAGGTAGAATATACGATGCAGAGGTCAATTCTGTGATCCACGCTCGTGACCAAAAGCTCATACGGGCGCATAACATCCGCGTTCAGCAAGTCCGTGTTGGGTGTAGTGGAGAGGTGGAAACTTTGAAATAGGTGAGAATCTTTACGACAGGTATCTCCATGAGAACTCTCAAACCAAAGGATCTTGCTGTATTGGCAAGGGGTATCTGCAACGCTTTAAAGGCTCTATAACACGCTAGATCAAGTCGCGTTCTTTGATTTGCTCTCCTTTTGACTCATTATAACGAGTACTAGGTCATAGGAAAAGGATATCAATGAAGTTTCTGCCTTCAGAAACCACTAAACATAATAGGTAATACTGCGCACCTTACCCCATTTATATATAGATATATATATGTATACAGCCTAACGATGCGGCCTTTCGTCCTACCACGGACCCTTTGAAAGCGACGCCCCCTTTGAGAGGTTCGTCATGTGACACGAGAGACGTGTGCGAATGCGGATCTTTGCCACGGCACGTAGCGTATAGCCAGTGGCACAGCCATGAACGTAGAGACAATGTGATTGCTGTAAAGGAGGCGACAGAGATGGAAGAGGCGGCCGCCGCCGCCCTCACACCGTACCCGCCACCGTCGTAATAGTAGTGATAGACACAGAGGGCACAAACGCAGCTACAACGGAATCACGAAAGAAGGGATATAAACAGAGGATAAAGTGGGCGTCTGTTACGTGATGTCCCTGCGCACACCGAGAAAAAACAGGACGTTAGCTGCGTGTAAAGCATGCATCCAAAATACTTTTGGCATTGATGTGAAGGGGGGACAGCGTCGGAGGCGGAGGGACGTTCCAAGGGGGCGGCTGCGTGCGACGGCTGACGTTTAGTGCCTGAGTACTCGTAAGTATTCATATGTTTTCATCAGCATAAGCTCTTTCAGATAGCGCTTCTGCTTGTTTCATTGGTGGTCGTATTGGCGTTGTAGTTGTCTGTTTGCGGGTGTTGATAAAGGGTGCGTAAGTTCCGTCTGCTTTGGTTTCGTAATCGCTAAATCAAACGTTTTCAGCACGACACAACCTGAACGTGGGTGTGAAGATCAAGTAAAAAAATACAAGTGACCACCTCGCATCAGGCCATAGTATCAACAGTGGCGGTAGAAAGCTCTAGCTTCATGTTGATGTATCCCACCTAGTTGCTCAAATATATACGTACGATCTTGTGCAAAATTAGATTTTTATAATTATGAGATAGTAAGAGTGTGGAAGCATAGTTTCTTCAATGGATTTGTTAAATTATTCTATGCAGTTGCAGAAGCGCTAGAAGAAACATACAGTTCTGTCTAATGGGTGGAATAATTCCACCTAAGGCCGTGTGACGTTGCATAAAATCTAGTTCAACCGACACGACATGCAGGATTTAGCATTACGAGCATTTGACTGTTTAATATTCTCGACCTCGGTTCTTGGTTCAAAATAACCTATATAAAAGTCGTGATCGATAGTAAATGTTTAAAATAATTTAACACATTCTATTAACCTTTTTATTAGCTGATGCGTATTCGTGTGTATACAGAACCTAATATTCGTTTAAAATTGCCCTACACGTATCAATTTTTCGTTATTACAGGTAAGTGCCACATCGCATTCCCACTATCGAGTAGTCGTCATCTTTGGGTGAGAATTGGCCTTTATTGCCCAGCTCCTCGCACCTGACTTTTCTACCCAAAAATGTCCTTAGGCTTATTGTAGATATCCGAGCTAGCATAGGTCGGTCCGTAGGATCACCACTTTGCTTGGTTATTTATACGTACTCTCCAGCCCATCAAGTGAAGGGGGTGGATAGCAGCGTGCCCATGACGTGCAAGTGCCAGGACAAATCAAGCGTTGAGAAACAGCACCATAAGCCAAGAGGATCACACGCTGTTGGCAAGCCTCCGGTGGACTGCTGCTCTGGGCAGAGCTGCTATTGGCACCGGTCCAGCGCCCGCAGCTACTTCAGTTCGAAACGTTTTCTCTCGGAACGATCTTTTGGCTCATGGACGCCCGTCCCGTTCTAGCTTAGTGCCTGAATAGTCGACCGGCCCAACTGAACCCGGTGCTGGCCATGGCCGGCGCCGAGGTCGACGGCGGCTGATGGCGCCTTCATGACGGTAGTGGTATGCATACAAAGCCCTTTACTGGCAGTCCAACGGAGGGCGACGGTATAGAAGATAATCGGTCCGCAACAACGCGTGGAATGGATAGATGGATGAATGCTGCTGCTGGCGGAGAAGAAAGGGGTGTGATATTTCCCGGGGAGATCTGGGGATAGCAGTTGAGGAAGTGGGGATGCAAATAGGACGATGGGGGTAGTAGCTCCCTTGTAACATTCTCAGTCGGACTGCAGGGGGTCATGGAAGAGAACGAGTGAGAAATGTTAGGATAAAGCAGCATTACTGCGTCAAAACACGCGCTCGCGCCCTGATCCAAAAGTCGAAGTAGGCATTGCCTTACAGCGGCGTAGCAGACCTCGCAACTGCAACACCCAATTTGCAAATAGGCAAATCGCACATTGGAAATTACACTGAGCCCACGACGACCGCTTCTTCACTTACCGCAGTCGTGTCCGTTATTTACGCTCTTATCCACTGCAGTCGTAAAACGGCGATATTTTTATACCATATATCCATACCATAAGAACAAGACGGGTAGGGAAGTAATCGAAACCAATACATGTGTGTCATATCAGATTGCAATGCGCGATAGAGTTCGCGATATTCGGCAAAGAGAGATCGCGCTAGTGAGCCCGTAGCGAGAAGGGCTGATAAGTAGGTGACAGAGCCGACAACACGTTTCTCTCCCTGTTCTAGGTTTCTACGTAAGGTTTCGTTTACTTGCTTAAAGCAACAGCAAAGGCTGAGGGGAGTAGCAAGAACCCTGATCGCTTTCTTTTGGCTTCGGCCTCTGACAGCTGGTTCAAAAGAAGTCAAGCCAGGTTTCATCATTCCGCGGCCCCATGTCCAGCAGACCGGTGTCATAGCTAGTCACAAAATCGCATGTCCTACGCTCGATAAAATTGCCATGTAGTATGGCGCTGCTCTGGGTTAGTCATCGAGAGGAGCGAATAGTAGGGCATTTGCTAATATGAGCATACGGGACATTGCCGTCATCTTCTACATCAAGTTCATAGTCTCTTACGCGATGTTGCTGCTGTTGCTGCTGTTGCCGCTAGTAAACGCTCTCGGCTCTGGACGTCTCAATAGGTTAGACGTTCCGGTTCGTTGTCGATCGACACCGCCTAGCCACCGACAAATACAGCGCCGTTGTAGTGATTTTTTATGCTTTTACCGTCGTACAGCTTTTTCTCGCAACTCCCTGTGGTCCCTGTTATAGATTTGCATTTCCAGCCTGGCATTTTATCGTTCGTCGACTGTGTGCTCACCTCGTATCCCCCAGCTTTCGCTTTTATGCTGCTTACGTGGATTGGGGTGGATGCGAAGAAATCTTTTCGTACTTGCTTTGGGTTTCTACCTTCCCTCGACCTCTCGAGGAAGCAAAAGATTTTCAGACAGAGATTTCCACAAATCAGGCGACAGGGACGAAAGCTGCTCGTTTCTTGGGTGCAGGCTCCTAGCGAGTAAGATAGTGAGTCAGTCAGGCAACCAAACAAGTCGTTTCTTTTTGTTCAAAGCGAATCTCCAAAGCCCACGGCGACCCGAAAAGTATCTAGGTAAAATCGAGCAAAGCGCCGCTTGCTCTGTCCCCGTCGACAGAAAAAGAAGGCGAATTAGAAAAGTTTACTGCTATGACAATGACAAGCAAACCCAGTCCCGCACACAAGGATAAAGATCTTGTGAATTTAATTTGAAATATCCTTCTCTTTTCCCAAGCCAATCAAAACAAGACTTTGGGTCACTGACAGTATATCTCTTGCAGATAGCTCAAGATAGTTTAAGCTGCCTTAAGCCCTATTTAGGCTGGACTGCATCGCCGCTACACGCGCGTTGAATTTCAGTGCACGTACAGCCCACCCTACGCAGTTAACAAAGTTTCAAGTAATTGGTAGCCCTGTTTTGCACTTACTTCATCGTTCATCGACGTAACATATCTTTTAAGTTGATGTTTCTCAAACAGGCCATCGAATGCGTATGTATACCCATGAAAAGCGCTTGATCGCATTATCAGCACAAAAACAATAAATGAAATGTTCACTTTGCCAAAACCAGCTGATCTTAATACAAGGCCAAAAGACTGCGGCTATTTGAAACTTCTACTCTTCCCTAGCTTTTCTTTCCCGTTTGAGTTACGAAGATCGGTAACCAACACCCCTTCGCCCCCCCCCCCCCCCTCTCTCACTGCTATCCTTCAATAAACCTCTACGGTCTTCAAATGTGAGTGAGCGTTTGTACTAAGTCTACAGTTGCTCTTCCATCGGCAGAATGTAGTCTTAGCTCAACTTAATATCGGCACTAGCAGCTTTTTATGCCAAATTACTCAGAATTTGGGGTAACCGGAGGAGACGTGGGAAGGTAAACGAACTCAGCTGTACTCTAAAGTGAACAGCACTGCACTGGTTGTTCTGCTGATCTTCATGTTTCTGATACCTTTGTAGAGGCGCAACAATATTCTCGCAGCTAACTCAGTTAGCCCCCTTGTGGTATGTAAAGGTGGCCGGCATTAAATGCAGCATCGCATGACCGCGTCCGACCTTACTGGAAACCGTTGTTGTAGCTGTACGTCATTGAAGATGCTGCTCATTCTTTGGCTGAAAAGAAGACTCTGTTTGTTAGCTGAACAATGAGGCAGCACCAAGAGCTGAGAGTCTAGAAGAAGCTTGAGTTCGGAGAGGGGCGATGAGCGTAGGAGCCTAGGGACAGTTATGGGCTTTACGCTAAGGGATGGTTTAAGAAATGTCGCCGCTATCGCTGCACCCGCTTTGCTTCCACGTTTATATCCACCTTGGATAACCGGTAGTAAGAAAGTAGTATGTAGCGCTTTTTTTTTAATGGATAGGGGTCTCCAGACGACTCCAGAGAGGGATGGTCGAAACTATCAGTGAAAGATTAATAGCAGCGGATTTCCTTTTCTTTTTGCTGCTCTGCGGCTGCATATGCCACTGGCCCAAGTTCGGCCTTGTCAGCCTGTTGGGCCTTCATGGTAGCGAAGCTGCTTTCAGCCGATGTTGGCGTTTCCCACGATGACTCTCAAACCCTTACTCCCGGAGTGTCTTTGCTGCGAGTCCTGGCGTTCCCAGCTTTTCCAGACTGTGCTTGGCTTCCCACTACCCTGAACTCACGGTATGCATCTGAACTCTGGCTAGCTTGCGTCTAATTCAATGCAATGCAACACGAAGCTACAATCTATTTTGTAATATATCTATGCGAGCGAGCCAGCGAGTTTAGTAAGAGAGCCACATCTGCAAGGTTTGCCACATTGTTTTCTTTTTTGGACTTCTGCCACATTTCAACAAACCTCACGTATTCAAATCATGCAACCCTTAGCACGAACAGAAACAATAGCACAATTGAAATTTTTCAATACAGATGTTTTTTCGAACGGTCTACGGATGATGAAGACTAATCTAACTGTAAATTACAGAGGTATCAGTTTTAATTCAGGCGGCAAATCATGCGATCAAAGGAATATTGTTCTGCTTGAGATGAGGTGCATGCGACCTTTATCTTTGTTTACATTATGGAGCAACTCTCGGACTGTAATCTGTCACCTACCTCATGTAGAAACACTCTTACCCTTCTTATGTTCGTATCCTTCTTGCCAACGGGCATCATTCCAGCTCGAACGGCAGCGATACCGTCCAATTCACCATTCAGTAATGCACTCCTCTTGTAAAAGTTTTTCGCCTTCTGCTCCGCCTTCTAACTATCTTTACGGAAAAAGCGACAGACAAGTCGGCCTGCTCAA